ATTTAAAATAACCGTTTTTTTCTATTAATCGATTATTTGATTAATCGATTAATCGATTTTACCTGTTCATTTTACAAAATCACATATGATTTTATTCTGACAACAGTATGATTTCATTCTGACAACAGTATGATTTCAAAGCCAACGTCAGCGGGACCAAAAATCTCGACTGATTTTACTTATTCTTTAAAGTTTTCTTTCTACAGGTTTCTACCGGTCTCTTTACAAAATCACATCTGATTTCATTCTGACATCAGTATGATTTCAAAGCCAACGTCAGCAGTAACAAAAATCACATCTGATTTCAGTCTGACTTCATATTGCTGACATTCGCGTATGCGCTACTGACGTCAGATTGTCGACAGACGTGACGAACGATTTTCACGTCTGATTTTATTCTGACGTCAATATGAAATCATAAATGCTAGCTGGGTTATATTATGCAATTACTAAATTGAATCAAACTGGAGATTATTGTCTGGTTCGGTGTTTTTAATCTTAAGGGTAATAAGGGTTTAGACCCAGTCGCGTGCTGGGCCACCGGCATTCTGGGAATTTCCCCCGGGGGATTCTTTTTGAGGGCGCGAAATGTTAAAAAACTATTGTTATTCTACGAAGTTCAAACTTTTTAAATAATAAATGTTATAAGCATTTCCTGAAAAAGGGGGCGGTAGAAATATTAATCAAAATTTAGATCCAGATGTCAGAAAGCAACAAAAAAAATGTAGAAAATAATTTTCTAATTAAGGGTAATTGAGGTACAAAGGTAGTAAATGCATACTACTATTTTCGTCATTACAATGCCCATTACTTACGCATGTGCTTAAATCACCTTGCCACGATAAACCAATATTGCAATTAAATATATATATATATATATAAACGAATACATTTTTATTTATGTCAATCCATTTACAAATTTTGTAAATGGTTTGACATAAATAAAAATGTATTCGTTTGCTATAAATAAAGATACTACCTTGCAGACAAATTTATTTGTGGGAGAATATCCTTAATAAGATAGGTTTTTCAAAACCATTTTTTTAAGTTATTTTTTATATAAAAAAAATCCTTTATATGAAATAAATAAATAGTGCTTTAAAAGCAAAAAAATATATATATTAATTATATATAATTTAGGGAAAGTAAATTAACATATTTTATCTATTATTATTATTCATACAAAAATAAGAAAAAATATTTTGTGTTATTTTCTATGTGAATTGCAAAAACAAGAAAAAACCTAACTCTTTTATATTGCCATAAACATGTTAAACTTTCTATGTATGTATATTTAGTATATTTACTTTGGTATTGTTTTTTATCCCACATTTAAACTCTTTTATCGTGTTTATGTACCGTATACGGTATAACAACAAACTTAAAAGCTTTTAAAGGGCGTAAATATTTATCGAAATCTAAGATTCGAGAATATCATTTGGAATACTATAAATGTGTGTTATATTCTTGGATTTAATTTTTAGGATATACCTACGAAAATGGTTAATACTTTAAAAGTAACTTCATGCGCCAAAATAAAGACAATATAATAACCTACAAATTAAATACAAATAATATTAATAAAATTACTATTAGGCTAAATAAACGAAAACGCTTATTAATTGAAAAAACTTTTAAAAAGCGTCGCGACGCGTCGCTTTCTCTTTAAAAAATGCAAAACGCGTTAATCGTGTAGCCACAATTCGTTGTGACTAACTCAAAAATACCACAAGGCAAATTCGCCTTGTGGTGCAATAACGGGTTCTAAACGTTAGCAGATACAACCACGATTTTTATGAATAAATAAATGATAAAAAGTATAGAACATCAAATAGTTTGACTTTAAGCACTTTCAGTCAAAACAAATGTGATTTTTCACCATAAATTTTATTTTTTCAAAATTCGTTGATTACACAAGTTTAAAAATTTCGGTCAACTGTTGGATCAAAAATTAAAAAGATTTTTAACGATTCGAATCTTTAATCCGTTTGTCAACATTTCTGATACCAAGAATTTTGGGATGAATTCTCTTCATGTCTAACATTCACTTTAATTAAATACAATACATTCAAGATTTGGAATCAGCGCCACAAATTACTTTGGAAACAACAGCTCAGATCTAAAATCGTGTACAGTGTGTTATTAGTAGAATTAATAGTGTTTGAATGTTAAATAAACAGGTTTAAGGCTAGTATTTTTAAAGTTATGTCGTATATCACCATCTATTGTGGTTTCCATCAGCAAGCGTTTAAAACGAGTAATGGCTTTTCTTAATCGCCACAACGCGTAGTGGTCAATTGCATGAAAGCCGCTTTGTGGTCCTTTAGAAATCCGCAAAACTCGTTGTGGCTTTTGTTACAATTGTAACAAAAGCCAAGTTACAAATATCGTGGATGATTTAAAAAAGCCACGAGTTGTGGGTTTTTTTATTCAATATGCATTTTTGTTCTTTGAGACTAACATATTAATTAGTACTAACAATATTTAAGTACTTACATGTTGTATATTATCGGGATCTATGTCTGCATCTTGAGGGGGGGGCTGTGGGGGGACAAACATTCGATTAATAATTCCTTTACCAGAAGGAGATGGTAAAGATTTAGCCAAATGAAGAAGGTCTGATGTACTGGATATAGATTTGCATTGTGACAATAGGTTCTCGTATCTTTTACTTTGTTCCAATGCCTAAAAAAAGTTAATAGATTAATTTAATTATAATTGTTAATATTGAATACAATTTTTAAATATTATATTACACATATTATACAAGAGAAACGTATAATATAAGAGTTATTGTTTGTAGACAATGGTTTCATAGCTTTAGAAACTTCCTGGACTGACATAATCTAAAATTGTTTATTAACACGGCGTTTTAATTGCTAGTGGATCTGCAATCGTTATCAGGTGAATAATGATTATGATAATGATAACGATTGCAGATCTACTAGCAATCAATACGTCGTGTTAATACAGTCCGCTACTGTATATTAATAAAAAACATTGATTTAAGTTCATAAGGTAAAACATTAAAAATACACAAATACAATCCAGACATGCATATGTGTCGCACATCTAAACAATAAATAATACATGAAACCTTACTTTAATAAATTGCAAAAAAATATTTTAGAACAAACAGCATAAGCAGCATCCAGTATCCCAAAATATATTCTATTTAGAGATTTATTTATAATAATTCCCAATACACAGTACAAATTTGTATGAGAAAAACTGAAACATTTTATTTAATTTTTCGCCCTGCTTTAAGGTTGTCCGAGCATGAGTTTTAGTGTTTCGATCGTGGTAGAACTGTGTCCTATCCTACAGCATTAAAGCGGTTTCATATAGATGCGAAATACGAAATGCGCATTTCGCAACTCCTATTTTATATAGATGCAAACTATATTAAGGACATTTTTTTGTCACTAGGTGATATTTGCCATACTTGGTTAACATTTTCTTTGTGTTTTTATTATGGATGAACAATTATACTAGTGGCAATTATACCATTGGCGACGAAGGCGTGCAATTGCGCTTATTTATTGTTGAAACGAATTTAACTAATTAACGCGCATGCGCATCACGACAAATTCCTGCGATGTTCGCAAAATATTGAATCAATCTCAAGATTCCCGCCCCCAGATTTCAAATCTTGGGAATTCGGAGGATCTGTCGAAACGTCAAAACGCTTTTCCGCCAAATCAAATGGACCAATTAAAACATTTTTCGTATTTCGCATTTCGCATCTATATGAAACCGCTTTTAGATCCGTTGCCAACTACTTGCAACCAAAATTCATATGGATATAAATTTTAGGCGATTTTCTTTATTATTTTGCAACTTAATTGCATTATCAGTTCATGAGGAACCCAAAAATATTCAAAAAAAAATTAATTTTAATAAAAAAAGGTCGGACGGAAGACTGAACACCTAATTCTGAGAAAAAGGCCTCCCTGCTTAAAATACCCCATAGAGACCCTGTTCAAACCGATAGATATTTGTATCGGGATGTATGGTGTTTCTATAGGGTATATCGGTTTTTGTATAGTTGAGATTTATGGTTGTTCTATAGGGATATCCACCATTGATTTATTTGCTATCGGTTTCAATGGGGAAAATACACATAAATGTAGAAATTAGTTTTTTCCCTATAGGACCCCATAGGTTTTAATACAATTTTGTCAAATGTTTTATGGTTGCTCTATAGGGATATCCCTATATATCCTTCATTGAGTTATTTTCTATCGGTCTCAATAGGGAAAATGTAAAAGTTATGGTGTGCCTATAGGTAATTTCCTATACATTTTCTATCGGGCTGTATCCGGAAAAAACCATGGACAAATGCACATATTGAATCCGGTAGCGCCCGATAGATTATTTTGTATAGGTCTCTATGGGGTTTTTTAAGCAGGGCTCTAAGGCTAGCCCAATTAGACTTGTTGGGACAAGTCGGATGACGTCATAAATATGCATATTAATTATGATTTTTTCCGCGCATTTTCCCATTGGTCACGTGACTAAAAAAGGGAGGGATGGTCTCAGGCCATTGGGATTAAAAATAGACTTTTTGGGACAAGTCGGATGACACCAGCAATTCAAAATGTCGTCAAAAATGAAATTTATAATATTAATTCAAAATAAATCCTTATCTCTAAAAATTTGACGTCACAATTCAAAATGGCGTTAAAAATGATTTATATTATTAAGAATTTGTATCTCCAAATAGCGGATGCCAGGCGACCCAATCACTGTTATGTCATCACCAGTTTCCGTTCCCTTATCTCTAGTTCGAAATTTTTGTATCGCTTATCTATAGGTGGCGCCACCTTCGGAAAACAGCGCTACCAACCCAACGCGCTACGTCACCTGTCTAGGTCACTTCCGGCGCCGTACTCTCTTTGTATCTCTACTTCCGGTGAATGTCAAAGATGGGCCCATATAGCGTGTGCTGCGAAAAACAAAAAGATCCCGGAATGGTTTTGCAACCAATGCAAAAGGTTATGTATTCTTCTTCTACAAGTTCCTCATCATCAGACGAGGAGTCTAGGAACCGACTGGAGATAGAGAAGAGGAAGAGGAAAAGCAAACCAAAACAAATGTCAAAAACTCAAATGTAACAGAAACTTTTTAACTAAAATGGACACGGTGGAAGAGTCTTTGAATTTTAACGGCGGAATGATAGAAGAGTTACGAAGAGAACTTCCGTCTCCAAGGATAATAAACAACTAAAGAAAGTATTGGAACATCAGAAAAAACTAATCTCTTCTCTGCAGGAGAAGCTTGACGCCTTAAACAAAACAGCATCTAACCATCAACAACCCAACAACAACGTAATCAAAATGGGTATGGAAGAAAATCAAGCCAACAAAGATAATGTCAAAAAAGTTCTTACTAAACTCGAAGTCCCACACGATAATATACAGGTTAAAATACTTCCAAGCCAAAAGATGTCCAAACCTGTACTGGTTGGCTTTGAAACAAAAGAAACAAAAGATCTAGTACTCATCAAGCGTAAAGCAATGGGTGAAATTAAAACAAATATGTGTAGAATTGAAGGCACAGATGCAAACATCTATATAAATGAAGACCTCCCTAGAGATGTAAGAAACTTATTTAATAAAGCTAAAGATCTAAAAAAAAATAATGTAGAATAATTCGGTGTACTAAAAAAATAAATCATGGTGTGCACAACACAACAACAAATAAATAAGTAAATAAAATTATATTTGTCTCAACAAAATATAGCATAGTCATCTGAATGAACAATAAAACCTCAAAAAAACCTAACCTCTATAATAGTATAGAGGATTTCAAAACTCTCTCACATAATGACCAAAATAATAATCAATTTCACATGGTCTATATGAATGCAAGTTCAATAAAAAATAAGCTAAATGAACTCACTATTATACTGTCTTTAATAGATAGGGATATTTTAGCAGTTGTAATCGGGGGTTAATGGTGTGCGGTATAAATCAAGAATAGCTTAAACTTCAAAATAATAAAAAGTTATGAGAGGGATAATAAAACATTTATTTTAGTGTATATTAAAGAAACCAATGTATATCTGGGAGTAATCTACAGCCCAGACAACACGAACCAAATTGTCAATCAAACAATACAGCTCCTAGAACAAGAACTTGCCACACTGGGAAGTAAAAATGCATACATTCTTGGAGATATGAATATAGACATACTAAATCCAAAAGAAAAAACACATAGCTACATAGGATACAGTGATGAAAACATTGTTAACACAAATTAAAATAATCTTATTGACTGTTTCAGAAAAAACACATCCTACACTATAAAATTCAACTCATTAACTTCAAAAACAAAGTGAAAATCATGGTTTAATGAGGTGATAAGAAGTGCAATGAATTAACAACAATATTTTTACAAAAAAATGCGTCAAACCGACAGCGAATCTATGAAAGTAGATATATGAAAGCCACTGAAAACCTAAAAAAAAATAATTAAAACTACTAAAATTAAATTTTACAAAGAAAAATTTGAAGAAGCTAAACATAATCCCAAAAAAGTTTGGAATATTGTCAACAATATACTAACCAAAAAAACCCATAAAAAATCTGATGAAATATCATTCCTAAAAATTGAGACAGAACTGTAGAAGAAACGCGAGAAATAAGCGAAAAACTAAATGAATACCCTGTTAAAATTGGTGAAAATCTCGCAAAAGATCTGGATAATGAACCAATAAATGAAGAACTTGAGACAAAAAATGAGGAAACTATGTCCTTCACAGTGATAAGTGAGGAAGAAGTGTCAAAAAAAATTAAAGTGTTAAACTCAAAAAAGCTACCGGATGGGACTCCATAGACTCTTGTGCTCTAAAAAAATGCTGTAAAAGTGTTGTTACGCCTCTATGTAAAGTAATAAATCAATTATTGAAAAATGGCATAATGCCTAATGGAGCTAAATTGGCTATAGTTAGATAGTGACACAAGCTTGATGAATAACTATCGCCCAATATCTATATTGCCATGTTTATCAAAAATTATTGAACGCATTGTAAATAATAGACTATTAACATACCTAAAAAAAGTTCTTTTACAAACACCAGTATGGCTTTCGCGAATCGAGTTACACAGTGGGAGCTACAGTTGATCTTATATCAGACCTTCAAATTAATATTGACAAAAACTGTGGCTCTGTGCTAGTGTCACTCGATCTGCGAAAGGCTTTTGACACAGTAAAAACTTTCATATTATTAAAAAAACTTAAACTACTGGGCATTAGAGGCACTACTTGGGAGTGGTTCGAAAGTTATTTGATTAAAAAACAGTTTGTGTCAGGGTGAACAGTAACTTGTGGAGTTCCCCAGGGCACAATCCTGGGACCAGTATTATTCTTGGTTTACATTAATTCCATTGCAAACTTAAAGCTGAGAGGTAAGATTAAATTATATGCAGACGACACAACTATAGTTTATCCAAGTAAATCTAAAAAAGAATTGATTCATAATATTCAACATGATCTAGATATAATTTTAAAATGGCTTATCTCTCATAAACTCTCATAACATAACAAAATCATCTTACATGTTTATAGCTAAACAAAGTCTTCAATGGAATGGTGTTGTGACAACACATTGAAATACTCAAAGGTAATTAAATACCTTGGCCTATATATTGATGAAACCCTATCATGAAAAGTTCATTTGAGCAAACTAAGAAAGAAAATAGCTCCACGAATTGGTATCTAAAAAAAATTCGTTCGGTGTACTTTTCGCTGGTGCACTGTCATATACAATATTTGACATCTGTGTGGTGTACTGCAAAGCAATATCTTATTAAACCAATCAAAATACTACGAAACAAAGCTATAAAAAACATTTATAACCTCCCGTTAAGATATTGTTCAAAATATTTATATAAATTTGTAATATCCTCTCCGTTGATAATACGAGGGTTGCCGTTTATATTTCAGGAATGGCCGAACCTGCTGATGCTATCGGACAACATATGTCTGTATCGTTAAGACCTTTTAGACGGTGTTCTTACTTAAAACGTATTGACGTCACTTGAAAATTAATGTCGGCCAAAAAAATGGTTGTTTGTTATCTCCATTCCCGAAATATAAAAGAAAACCCTCGTATATTCAATTACCAAATATCTTTGTATGTCTACCAAATATTGAATAAAGTACGCCACTCAAATATAACCTTTTCATATAGATCTATTGTTATAACCATCATACAAGGCACCGGACAAGTGTTGAATCTATTAGGTATTCCTCCTCACAAGGTAAAAATTAAACTTAAAAAACTTTAAGAGACTGTTAAAGGTCCACCTGACCAATGTATAAAATGTAAAATTTCTGTGATAAAACTCTTGTCAAATTTTGTATTAAATTTGTAAATAATATTATGTAGATCAACTTAAGTACTTAAGTTAAAAATATAATTGATACTGACCAAATACGATTCTTGTGATAAATGTAAAAATGTGCAATGTTAAATATTAATGTAAATACTTAGAGGATAAGCTTGTAATAAAATGTAAATTTCGAAAGATTTTTTAATAAATTCTATTCTATTCTATTCTAACATACCTATAACAAAGATATAATTACAAAAAATAACATTTTTTTTAATATAAAATTACTACCATGTTAATTATATCAGATATAATTACTACCATGTTAATATATGTTTACTTTTTAATATAAGTATGTGTAATATATTATAGAATATTAAAAAAATACTATTTAATAAATAATAAAGATTATAAAATAAAACCAAAACTTTTCAAGAATTTTAAATTTTAGACCATGTTCATTTTATTTTCTGCTTTTAAATTTTTAAATTATGTGCTTGATCTTAGAAATAGAAACAGTAAGTTTAGGGTAAAGGGTTCAACAAGGTAGAGGGGACTTTTTTCTGAGAGGAAATTTACACTTTATTTATTTTTGGGCCCAGAAATATACTATTAAACATAGAAGAAAGTTAAATGGAGGGACAAAAGGGCAACATGGGTATTTCAAATTGAATATACATATTATAATATTATTAACAGTTTTTGCGAATAATACAAGTTTAAAAGGCATTTTATAGGAAAATAAAAAATACATCCTGTATGTAAAAGCAAATCTTTTTTCTAGAAAGCAAAAACATGCATTGTATGAAATTATGTTTTTATATTTTAGGTTCAAATTGTTTTTATTATTTGTAATATTTATTTGACAAATAATTAAAAATATGCTCTGAAACAATATTTTTATTTTTACAATAAAATACACAGGGTAAAAAAATCTGAACTAGAACTGGAGCAATTAAATTTTAAAATATGTGTACCTATATTTATTAATATAAATTATTAAAAAAAAATGTATAAGGGTTTAATTTAACCTTTTAGAAAAGAAGGGATTCTTGCCCCATTTCCAGTATTTTGGTCAGTGGGGCAGGCAAGGGTATGCATGCTACAAAAAGTTTCGAGACTCCTCCTCCCACCCATTTTCTAGCACAATTTTTCTCCCTTCTTTTGATTAAAAAGTTTATTCTGAAGCCATAATTTATGTAGGTATATCAAGCATTAACTTACATATGTTATCCTCTAGAGCAGCGGTTTTTTTCGCGTAACCGACTGATTAGTGAGTACCACAGAAACTTTTGCCATGTTGGTGTTCAGGGACTTACAAGCCTTCTTCGAGAAAAGTACTGGATACTTGGGGGTAGACGTACGGTTAGGTCAGCTATCTCTAAATGTGTTGTCTGTAAAAGGCAAAGTGGAAAACCATTTACAACGGAATCAACACCGTTGATTGAAGATCGTGTACGTGACGCGGTTCCATTTGCAGTGACGGGAGTTGATTTCGCAGGACCCTTGTACCTCAAGAGTGAGAATAAGGTCTGGATCTGTTTGTTTACTTGTGCGGTGTATCGGGCCATCCACCTTGAATTGGTGACGTAATTGTCCACAAATGCTTTTATACAAGCATTACGTCGTTTTGTGGCTCGACGGGGACGTCCTAAGACAATCTATAGTGACAATGGAACAAACTTCGTGGGTGCGGAAAGTTCGTTCGGGAATTTGGATTGGGACGCAATAACTCGGTGTACAGCAGTACAACGCATCGTCTGGAAGTTTAATCCTCCTAGTGCACCCTGGTGGGGAGGATTTTGGGAACGTTTAATAGGACTCTTGAAACAACTCTTGAGAAGAGTGTTGGGCCGTGCGTCGCTAGATTTTGAAAGCTTATGCACGGTAATGTGCGACTGTGAGTCGGTTATTAACTCGCGTCCGTTGACCTACGTTTCTCACGATCCTAATGATTGCGTAGCTTTGACACCAGCTATGTTTTTGCGCGAACAAAGTGAACATAGGGTGTTAGATTGTGACGCGGTCGAGGAAGCATCATTCAGCCGTAAGATTCGTTATCTTCAGAAGCTTCGCGAAGACTTAAGACATCGTTTTCGAAACGAGTATTTGGGGACACAAAAGTTGAACCATAAACGTACAAGTTGTTCGGTTTCGGTGGGAGAAGTAGTTCTGATCGGAAATGACGTGAATAAACGCTCCGATTGGCCGTTAGCACGCGTAATGGATATCATTCCCGGTCGCGACGGTAAAATTCGTTTGGCGCGAGTGAATACTGCGAAAGGACAATTATTGCGATCGATTCAGCGATTGTA